CTTAAATATGTTAATATAGTTATTTTAAGAATAATTCATACAAATCATTAATTAATTTATCCTCTTCAATTTGTATATAATTGTATTTCTAGATCTATAATTGTTGGAAGTCCCACATCGACTAGAGATAAGGCCAATTTATAATATATAAGTGAGGTGCAAACCTCACCTTACAAGCCGGTTTTGTGGGGTTGAGTTAGGCTTAAAACCCACTTTCTAATATGGTATCAGAGCCATGGGTGTTGCTCCCTCCACCACCCCAAGTACTTCTGCACCTTCCCACTATTTTCTTTTATTCCAAAAATACTCTACACCTCCTCACTATTTTCTTTTATTTCAAAAATACCCTACACCTCCCCACTATCCTCAACAATCTTTCTCTTTCTCTCTCTGCATTAATGGAGCATTATCTTTCTCTTTCTCTCTCTACATTAATGGAGCATTCATATGACTTAGATTTAAACTTGTGATATATTGCAAAATATAAAATTGAGAGGAAACTTCAATATTAGTGCTTCTACCACTTCCATTTTATAAACTTAAAGGTTAGATGCAAATACAAAATAATAAACATAATAATATTAATAGTAAATAATATATTATTATTATTATTATTATATACTAACTTTATAATGACGAAAGAACTAAATAAATACCAAATCTTTAACAAATAACTTTTCTTTTATATTTTAAGTATTTAATAATATTTTTATATTATTTATCTAATAAATTAAATACTTTATTCAAGTTATTTGAGTCAAACATGTCGGTAAGTTAAAACATAATATAATGTTAAAAATTATAGATATTAAATGTAAAAAAAACACACATATATATAAACATTTTTCTAGAAATTTAGAACAAAGTTTTACCATTTATTAAGTGATTTGAACAAAAAAAAAAATATTGAACAGTGAAAATAAGATTGAATCAAGCTTATTTAAGGGAAAGTAAAATTTTGCAATATATCACAAGTTTAAATTTGAACCATGTGAATGCTCCATTAATGTGGAGAGAGAAAGAGAAAGATTATTGAATATAGTAGGGATGTGTAGGGTAATTTTGGAATAAAAGAAAATAGTGGAGAGGTGTAGAGTATTTTTGGAATAAAAGAAAATAGTGAGGAGGTGCAGTAGCACTTGAGGTGGTGGAGGGAGCAACACCCTATTTTTATATGCACTCTTAAGATTATTTAGACCATTTTTATTTGAAGTTACGATCAAAACAACTTACCTTGAACGGTATTAAAAATCAATTTCATATGTATCAATAAATTTTTCTTTAAAAAAATAAAAGATAAAAGAATAAAAAGATAAAAAAAATGTTTTCAATTAATGGTAGACAAGAAAAAAATGAAATAAATTCTCTTTATATTTTCAAACTTTAATTTTAGAAAAAAAAACTAAGAAAAACATAATAAAATAAAATAATAATAAAATAAAATTAAAAAAAGAGAGAAAATGGATAACCCAAGTAAATAAATTTGTTTTAAAAAACTCTATATAAAAAATATTTTTTCTTTAAATTTTCAAACTTTAACTTTAGCACAAAAATAATATATATATATATATATATATATATATATATATATATATAATAATAATAATAATAATAATAATAATAAGAAATAATAGTCCAATTTATTTCTAATTATCATATTCTTTTCATGAACCCATTAGCACAACGACTTTATACAAATCATCATTCTTAACTTTTACTTTCTACACCCTTTACAAGTGTTACAAGAAAATATTTTGAAATATCTAATTTTTAAGAAAAATATGTTTTGATAATTAAAAGCAATATTATGATAATAATTAGAATCAACATCTTGATATTATATTATGATTTGCTATATCAAAATTTTCAATTAAAGAAAAGTATGATTCTAATAATTTGAAGTAATATATTTTATAATAATTAGAATTAATATTTTAAATATTATATTATGATTTGATTTTTTTAATGTGTTGTCATAAAGAATAACTCCTTTCTTATATTGTTTATTTATAATTGAGGCTAGGATTATAATTGTATTACCATGTGTATATAAATACATAATTTATCATATGAAAAAAAAAACACATAAGGTGAAAAAAAGGCCTACAGTTCTCCTTTTCTTTTCTATTAGCACAACACACATAGGAGGAAATTTATGAAGAAAAATAGCTTCCAGGTATTTTCTTTGGCTCTTGTTTTATGAAGAGTTAATATGTGAATATGTTGGAAAAGGTTGAGTGATTGAATGTAATATATGATGATATTAGGTGAATATCCTAATTCTTATATGTTGTTATGCGGCATGTGTTGAACAAGAGGGAATTTCTTACAAAGGTATTGTTTGTCTTGATGTTGAAACAAGGTGGAATTCAACTTACTTCATGTTAGAGGCAAGCTTGAAGTACAAAGATGCCTTTGTCTTGCTAGATATGCAAGATAAGAAATTTAGTGTTGAAATGGCCAAAAGTAATGGTGATGTGCCATTAGAAGAGGATTGGGAATATGCGAGGTCTATTCTACCATTTTTAAAGATGTTTTATGACTCTATACCCTACGCATTTCTGGTTCTTCTTATGTCACCAGTCATATGTATATGAAGGAGGTGTTTGGAATTGGTAAAAGGATTCAACAATATTCTGAGAGTAGTGATTTGAGCATAAAATTGATGGCAATGAGGATGAAGGGCAAGTATGAAAAATATTGGGGAAATCCTAATGGAATTAATATCTTATTATTGATTGCTGTTGTGCTTGACCCTTGGAGTAAGTTGGATTTTGTTAATTACTTCATTGACTACCTCTTTGAATCTAGTATGGCCAATGAATTGAAATCAAAATTATTGTCATCTTTAAAAACACTTTATGAACAATATCAAGGTATTGAGGAGGGTTCTCAAAGTAGCCAACAAGAATCTCAACTAGATGATGATGATGATGATCCTCATGGCATGAGTTTCTACCTAAGAGCTACAGGATGTAGATTTGATTATATATCAGAACTTGATAAATATTTGAGAGAGGATCCTGAACCTTATATGAAGTCAGTTGAGCTTGATATTTTACATTGGTGGAAAGTCAACTCGACTAGATTTCCTATCCTTGCGAACATGGCTCGAGAGGTGTTAGCCATTCCTATCTCTACCGTAGCATCAGAGTGTGCATTCAGTACAGGAGGAAGAGTGGTTAGTCCTTATCGTAGTTGCCTAACGCCTAAAATAGTGGAAGTGCTTGTTTGCACACAAGATTGGTTAAAAGGAACACCTTTCTCTATACTTTTTGACGAGGATCCTAAAGAACTTGATAAATTTGAGCAAGGTGAGATTATATGACAAATTTATATANGTTAACTCTCCTTCATGATCGAATCTCAAAGCTTTGATCACAAGACCACTTTCTTTCTCAACATGGGCTTTTAACTTCTTGAAGTTCTCAAATACTTCTGATTTTTCTTTTAAGAAATATACCCATGTTTTTCTTGAAAAATCATCAATGAAAAGAAGGAAATAACTACTCTTACCGAGTGATCATGGCTTGATTGGGCTGTACACATTTGCGTGTAGGAGTTCTAATGGCTTTTGAGCTCTTGAGTCCGACTCATTTAGAAAACTCAATCGAAATTGTTTTCTAAGTAAACATCCTTCACAAACTTGGTTGTGGTGAGTAATACAAGGCAGTCCTCTCACCATTGCCTTCTTGGAGAGCAACTCTAATCCTTTAAAATTTAGATGGCCAAATCGAAGATGCCAAAGCCATGATTGGTCTTTGTAGCACATCTTGAGACATTGTGGGCCATCACTTTGGATGTTGAGCACAAACATTCTATTTCTTGTCATTGACACCTTTGCAATGAATTTACTTTTAGTATCTCTTATAGAAAGGTTATTATTCTTAAGTTGAATATCATAACCTTTCTCTAAGAGTTTTCCTAAGCTCAAGATGTTACTTCTCATGCTTGGCACATAATACACATTGGAAATAAATTGATGTTCTTCATTCTTTAGTCGGATGAGGACATTACCTTTTCCTTTCACTGCCACCTTTGATTCATCTCCAAAAGCCATGTTTCCCTTTACTGATTCATCAATCTCCACGAACATGCTTCTTTTTCCACACATATGATTACATGCTCTACTATCAAGGTACCACTAATTATCCTCGCCTTTATCTTGGTCTTTATAAGCTAGTAACAAGGTATACACCTTTCTTCGACATTGTTGGCTTTCTCTTCGACTTTATTTTTGTTAAGGGTTCTACACTCAGAAGCATAATGTTTAAATTTATCACAATTGTAACACTTGATTCGTGACTTGTCATACCTTGAATTCGGATTTTCTCTCCCACGACCTCTGTTAGAGCTTTCTCCTCTTTGGTTATTGTTGTTAGGCCTTCGTCCTTGTCCATGTCCATATGCACACCATTGTCCATGTTCTCGACTATAACTTCTTCTTGATTGGTTGCGTGTGTTTTCTTATTTTCTTGAAGCAACATGTGCCTTAAGGACTTGTTCCACGATCTCTTCCTTCTTCTTTTTCTTTTCTTCATAAGCTTGCAACGAACCAATAAGTTGCTCTATTGACATGGCCTCCAAGTCTTTGGTTTCTTCGGTAATGGTGAGAATATGTTCAAACTTTAGATCTAATGATCTAAGAATTTTCTCCATAATTCTTACATCATTTAACTTTTCACCACTTCTTGTTAGTTGATTAGTAATCGTTAAAAACTTAAAAAGTAATCAAAGACTAGTTCACCTTCCCTCATATGCAAAGCTTCAAACTCTCTTGTCAAAGTTTGAAGACGTACCTTTTTACTTGATCTACTCCCTTGAAAAAGATCTTAAGCTTCTCCCATGCTTCCTTGACTGACTTGACTCTAGAAATCTTCTCATAAGTATCTTCGTCTAATCCTTGGTAGATTAGACAAAGAGATTTCTTGTCTTTCTTCCTTGAGTCTCTCAAACTCTTCTTAAGCTTCAATTGTCATAGTTGCTCTTGGTGAGAATCGTGACTTGAAAGGGAAGTTCTATAGTTGTCATTTTTATGATGATCTTATGGCTCTTGATACCACTTTGTTGGGAGAAAATTTTAGAGGTTTGAAGGAAGTTTTTAAAATTGGGAGAGGTTGAAAGATTTTAAGAGAAGGAAAGACTTGTTGTATTGAATGTTTCTATTTTTTTTGGGCTTAATTACAAATGATACAATCACTCCTTATTTATACTAGTGACACCTCCTTAACCAATGATTAGGATCTTGTCACCATAACATTAATCTAAAGGTTATTATTCATTATCTAGATATTTCTAAAACATTCCTATAATTCTAAATTTATCTAGAGACATCTTATAGATAAGCATCTATAGATATTTTTGTACATAATTCTAGAATCCTTTTATCTAGGATTTTCTAGAATCCTATCTGGTTTTTTTTCTAATCTTGAGCTTTTATCTTATAGGTCTAACATACAAAATCAATTTACATTCCATCACTAAAATGGTGAAATTAAGGTCATTAAAAAAAAATTGTAGTGAAGTATATTAGTGAGAGGTTTATAATACCATATTTTTAGTTATTATTGTAAAAATTAGTTTTTGAAAAACAAAATTACTGAAATATTTTTATATTAAATGTGTTAAATGGTAGATGAAATGAGAATAAAATTCATTATAAATTATATGATATTGTTTTTTTAATAATAAATATAAATTTATAATGTTTATAATCGTTTAGTTACTTTTTAAAATTTGCCATATATCTTTTTGTATATGATGATAAATAATTTGTATATTTTGAAATATCAGTCTATTAAGATATTTAAGATATTATAGTATATGATGATATCTAACATGAATCTGATAAAACAATCTAAATGAATTAATTTATCATTTTAGTAAAAATGAAATGCTAAAAATATATTGTAGAACTTAGATAAATAATTTTATAAGCAATAAAACGTAAAATGAAAGTTGAAAAGTTATACTAAATTTAGAACATATATTTGATCAAAGGACCAATATCTGAATGCAATGCAGGTGAACATGGAGTATGGTCTTGATCCTAATGTAGGAGAAGCGATAATGCAAGCAGCTCAAGAAGTAGCAGAAGGAAAACTGAACGAACATTTTCCACTCGTTGTATGGCAAACTGGAAGTGGCACACAGAGTAACATGAATGCTAACGAGGTTTCTACAATTATTTGTGATCAAAATTAAACTTCGGCAGCACACACTTTAGGTTCCTACCAAGATTATTGTTTTTTCTCCCCTCAACTTTTCAGGTTATTGCAAACCGAGCAGCAGAGATTCTTGGCCGTAAGCGTGGTGAAAAGTTTGTACACCCAAATGATCATGTCAATAGATCACAGTCTTCAAATGATACATTCCCAACTGTAAGCATCTTATAATCATATATATATATCCAAATTTCTTATTGATTAGGCTCGGTATCAATATAGTACAATTCCTGATATACGGTTTCTTATACTTTGTTTATCTACTGTCCTACCTTGTTTAAAATATTGTTTTCTTTTTAATTTGTGTTTGTTTACTTCTTTCCAGGTAATGCACATTGCAGCTGCAAAGGAAATAAACTCAAGACTAATCCCCAGCCTGAAAATCTTGCATGATACACTAAACTTAAAGGTTTGAATTGTAGTTCATATATATGAGCTAGTGGTTTTATCTGGTTCTTTGTCTCACTTTTCCTTTGAGGTTATCGTTTATGCACTTTGCATTTGCGAATAGCTGATGAGTTCTTATATCAGAAAACATATTAGAAACCTATAACTTGGATAAAAATAAGTGGTCTCTGAGAAGAAAAATTATTTACAGACTGAAGGCATATGGCTGTGTAATTGAATTTCTCTAAATGGTTTTTTTATCATTGCTTTCTCTTTTTCAGTCAATTGAATTCGAAGATATTGTGAAGATAGGACGAACTCATACTCAAGATGCAACACCTTTGACTCTTGGGCAAGAATTTAGTGGGTACACTACACAAGTAAGCTTGCTTGTGTTGGCTCGAGCTGTTTCATATTTTCGCTTTCATTTATGTTGCATTGTTAATACTGACAGTAGTGATTTCTCGTTGTTGTTTTTTCCTTTATCTGCAGGTGAAGTATGGTATTGAGCGAGTAATTGCGACAATGTCGCGCATGTATCAGGTTAAACGATCAAGCACAAAAGCTAACTGCTTGTTTTTCACTATTTTCTTTTGGAGTTCTGATTCTCACTAAACAGTGATGTTACTTGATGAACAGCTTGCTCAGGGTGGTACAGCTGTAGGGACCGGATTGAATACAAAGAAGGGGTATGCTTGTTTGATAACTAAATGGTGTTTTCTATATTTTATTTTTATGAATTTGGATATTTTTTGCATTGGTAATTTTGTGGGTGAAATTTCAGGTTTGATGCAAAGATAGCAGCAGCAGTAGCCGAGGAAACAAATCTGCCTTTTGTTACGGCAGAAAATAAGTTTGAGGCCTTGGTTTGTTTCTGCAACTTTTCCTCATTGTATTTAAAGTAAAATATGTCTTTTTCATTTCATTACCTTAGTTTTTTCATTAGGCATGCTTCCAATGCAGCACAATATATTCTAGTTTTGCAGGCTGCTCATGATGCGTTTGTTGAAACTAGTGGTGCCTTTAACACTGTTGCGGCTTCTTTGATGAAGATTGCTAATAATATACAATAGTATTTGCAGTGGGAATTTCATTGTAGTTAACTGAACTGTTTTGTAGTTAAATGAACTAAAAAATAGTTTAGTTCAGTTTTTTTGAACTATTTTTTAGTTCAGTTCAGTTTTTTTAAACTATTTTATAGTTAATTGTAATAGATTTATAGTGCAGTGCAAATAGTGCAGTTTGTCCACCCCTCGTTATGCCCATTTAATGTGTGAATATGTTTTCATTTTTTATCTGTAATGGTTTCATCAAACCTAAGCCCTATACCCTTTTTGACTTCCACCCATCATTCACATTCATTTATCTCATTACCTCCACTTTACCACCACATACCTAACTGCTTATTGTTTGGATTGTAATATTATTCCACGCATTTCACATCTACACTGCACACAACCATTACTTTATTTTGAGTTTCGGTTTGTTTTTTATTTTTCTCATTACACCTACATGTTCGCTACACACACTAAACTGTACTTTAGGTTTCCAATTTTAGTTTATTAACTTTTTTCATTAATAATTCTATAAAAAAAATTAAAAAATAGAAAAAATAATTTGCCTTTAATAATAAAGATCAATAAAAAAAGAATACTAAAAATAATAGTCTTTTAAGATATAAAACTTTAAAAAGCTAAAAATAAAAAATATAATTATGAAAAAATATATATAAATATGAAAATAAAAGTTATATTTTCTTTCTTTTGATGTATGTTTCTTTAAATTTCAAAATAAGAGGATGAGTACTCATGTGACTATCTCTGTTGTCCTAATACTTCATACCTTTTTTTTCAAGTGTTTAAAATATAAGACTACTTGTTTGATCGTCTACATTGTCCTAATATTTATTACTTTTATCTTTCTCAACCATGCCAAAAATATCCAAGTATACAAAATCTTCAAAAATTAAAAAAAATCAACATTTTCAAACAAACAATCTTTCCGAGAACTATGTGATTTCTAATTTTTCATTGTGAATGGAGATACGTAGAAGCACAGTCAGTTCTTGTAGGGTTCACTTTCAAAAAATCGAAAAAGAAGAATTTATTTCTTCTTGTAGCTCTTCGGACTTGTCAAATTCTATGATTATTTTTCTTATTTTCTCTTCTTTACCAGAATCTCCTTTTGGTTCAATATTCATTAAAGCTTTTTGTAGAGGATCCGTTAGAGAAAATGAGCTTATTACATCCATCCAACACATATATTCTGGAATAGTCTTTTGTTTCAACGATATACTTTATAGCCTTAAATATACATCAAAAAGTTCACTTCGTCATCTTGCACTCGAACCTTTAGTTTCCCATTATCCATGTCAATAATGACTTTGACAGTTTTCATGAATGATCAATCAAGAATCAATGGTACTTCTAAGTCGTCCTTTATGTCCATTATCATGAAGTCCACAGGAAAATAGAATTTATTCACCCTTATTAGCAAGTCTTCTACTATTCCATAAGGATGTTTGACTAATCTATCAACAATTGTGTAAGAATAAGGGAAAATAAGAAATATTTTTTATTATTATATTATATATTAGTTGTGTGAGGATAAGAAAAATAGAGAATATTTTTATTATAGTTTGGTCATGTGAGGACAAGGCATTTAATAATATACATATGTGTGTTTCTTGTATTTTGTCTTGACTGCCAAAGGGTTTTAATAAGATATATATATATATATATAGCTATTTTTGCATTATATATTAGTTTAGGACACACTAGCCTACTGGTGGAGGCGGTGGTCCGGCATGCAAAGGCGTTGATTAATGAGACTTTGCTTCATAAATAAAAATAGCATTTGTGAGTTAGTGTTTGGAGAGAGAGAGAGAGAATTCTTAGGTTTGCAAAGAGCGTGAACTAGTCTCTTCAATTTACCTTTTTGTTGTTGCCATGCCTATCTTTGATTTATGTGGGGAATTATTGTTCTACTGTTGGGTCATTGAAATATATTTTTGAAAACTGATGCATTATTCTAGAGAAAAAGAAAAGAAAGTGACGCTAGTAAGAAAACGTCTCGCCGTGTATTTATGGTGAAAGCCAACGCGTGTTTATTTATAGGTTTAATACCTCTTTTGGTCCCTAGAAAGGGGGCCAAAGTTCAATGTGGTCCCACCTTTTTTTAGAAGTTCAATGTGATCCCACCTTTTGTAAAAAGTGTGCAATCAAGTCCTTTTTGCAAACGGCGTGAAGTTTTTAACGGAGCAGCTGACAGGGTGGACTGA